TTGCACAAACACACTGGTTTGATAATTTTGGGACTCAAACAACCATCGTTCTTATCATTTTCCGCCTGGCCGCTAATGCAGCGTGTTTTTTTTTGTTTTGCGTTGCACACACACGGGCTTTTCGGTTTTGCCACCACTTTTACTTTACTTTACTTTACAGCATCATCCCAGAAGAAGCAGCAGCAACAACAACAACACACACCACCAACACCAACACAAACAACCACAACAACAGCGACAATTATAGCTGCTACTGAACGTTTCGTTCGTTCTTCTTCTTGCTGCGAATATATTTTTTGATTTCGCGACTTTCTGGCCGCAAAATCGGTGGCAATTTGTTGCGCGCGGTTGTGCAATATGCAGGGCCAACGAACGCGGGCGATTTTGCGTATTTTGCACGGGCAAAATGCAAGAAAAAGTTAATTTTTTTTCTGTTTTTCTACACAAGAGAAACACGGTTCTAGAGCTGGGCCAACGACTCACGATACTATCGATATATCGAAAATTTGTGTGTGCGATAGTGATCGATAGGGCTCGCACTGAAATGGCATCGACCCTATCGAAACTATCGAATTTATCTCACTCCTAGGCTAGGGTGACCGTTTTGCGGCTTTTTAAACATACCAGAAATACACCACAGCCTGGACACAAACCTAAGCCGCTAATATTTAAAAACAAAATTCAAATGTTAACTAATGTTCTTCTCTTAATATGCATTTAATTTACATTTTATTTACAAGTGGAGGCGGAACTGCATGTGAGTTTAAGGCTTAGTAGTCTCGCTCCCGCACCTTGAACATCAACGGGTCCTTCGTGCGCAGGATGAGCTCGGCAATCAGGACAGGCGGTTCCGAAGTATCGCCCACAAAGTCAACCTCGTAGTGCCGCAGGACATTGGCTACGATGGCCTTAATCTCGAGCATGGCGAACTTCTGGCCAATGCAATTGCGAGGTCCTGCCGAAAAGGGGATGTACGCGTAGGGATTGAGCTTCTCGGCGGTGGTGACCACATCGAATCGCTCCGGCTTGAAGCTATTGGGCTCGCTGAAGAGCTCTTCTCTTCTGCCCAAATAAAGAGGCGATATGCCGATGTTTGTGCCCGCTGGAATAAATTTTCCATCTGGAAGAGGAAGTATTATTGTTGCAATTACTTTTTTCATATTAAAAATTAATAAAATTAATAATAGAACCATCTGGCCCACTCACTTATCTCGCAATCCTCGAGCACCTTGCGACCCAGCAGCGGAACGGAGGGATACATCCTGAGGGTCTCCTTGATGCAAAGATCGACGTAGTGCAAATGGTTGAGCAGCTCGTAGGTGACCGGCGTGGCCTTGTCCTGACCCACAACCGATCGGATCTCCTCAAAGCACTTCCTCTGCGCCTCCGGATGGGTGGCTATGTTGTAGAAGAAGAACATCAGTGCCGACGAGGTGGTGTCGTGGCCCTCGAACATGAAGGTGTCGACCTCCTCGCGAATATCCAGATTGCTCAATGGGCGATCATCGATCGTAGATTGCAGCAGGATGTCCAGGAAGGCCATCTTTCGCTTGGCGCCCACATCGGCATCTTCGCTGTTTCCGGTTCCGTTTCCACTTTCGTTTCCACCTCGGATGATCTCCTCCCTGCGCTGCACGATGATCTTCTCCGTGAACTGATGGAGCACATCCAGGGCCTTCTTCTCCGCCCTCGCCAGTGGGGTCAGCATGTAGGTGAGGTCGAATCGGTACAGGATGTTGAACATCCGCTTGTGCAACACCATTGAGATCGTCTTTACCGCCTGGACATATTCGGAATCTGCATTGGACTGGGCGTTGATGGACACACCCATGGCGGTTTCTGGGAAAGAGAGAAAGGAGCAGAGTGATATTAATGAAGCCATCTAAAATGTAGCGGTCACCACTGTATCCCTGAAGAAGAACTGCCTTTCGAATTCCTACCACAAATCGTATCCATGGTGCAGAGATTGATCCAATCGTAGAGACTGAACCCGGCATCTCCGTGCTTCAGGCGATCCCGCTCCATGTTCCGAAGCAGATCCCGCGACCCCTTCTCGAAGACCTCGACAAATTGGTCGAGGATTTTGAAGTGGAAGGCGGGCGTGATGATCTTGCGGCGCTTGTGCCACTTACGACCCCGGCTAACGAGGAGACCCTCCTTGAGCCAGGGCTCCAAGGCCTTGTACTCGCCGGCCTTGTCGTTGAATCGCAAGGTGCCCAGGACCACCTCCACGTCCTTGGGATTGCCCATCAGCACATTCAGCTCCGGCCCCAGCCAGACCTTGAGCACCTGATCCTTGGAGTAGGTGTCCATGAACTGGAATATCTTCTTGACCATCTCGTGTGGCGGCTTGCCGATAAAGTGGTGGCCATGGCCAACCAGGGGCAGCGCCGGCGGACCCGGCATATAGCTAATGAGGTCTATCAATCGCTTGAACTTCAGCTGGTAGAGCAGCAGGCCGACGAAGAGCCCGCTGGCCAGGATTGCGCCGATGACAAGAAACATGCTGGTCGTCTATATATTCTTCTCGGGACTTCCCTCAATCTATCTCCACGCATGAGCAACGGAGTTACTACTGATCCAGCAACAATTGGGTCGTATATATGAGAACCCCAACGGATATGGCCAAAATTGATTATTGACTATTGATACCCAACGATACACTGGGAGAAAGCGTCTCTAGCATGCCCTGGGTACATTTCAAATTGTGTTCTTAAGAACTCTGAGGAACTGCCATATTTGAAGTGAGTTTTCCATATTCAGTTCTTTGGTTCTTTGATTCTGGGTCATGCTAGCATATTTTCGCTGAGTGTATCTAAAGTGTCCGATGCTAATCGCTGTGGGAATATCTTATCAAACTGTCGAGAGCCAAATAACTACCGAAAGAGTGCACCAAACAAGCCCGAAATCTTATCGCAATTGATATTGATAACTGCATTTAGTGTTTTATGGCGGTGAGTGGATTTGAACCTTGGCCAATATTTTCCATTGATCCTAAACCCCCCCGTAATATATGGATTAGAATACGGCCACTAATAATAGTTAAAAGTTTCTGCACTATAGATTTGTTTACACCATTCAAGGGCTAACTAAATAAGTTGATTTGACAAAACAAATTTTTTAAATAATTAAATTTTTACTGAAAAAGACAGAAATTTTTTTCTCCTTTGTTAGAGAAATGACAGCTCTGTGGTTGTTAACGTTATTTGACACTTTTAAATAAATAAATCATTTAAATTCTTTTTCTTTACTAAAATTTAAAAAAATCTCCTCAACTTAAGACTAAAGGGAAAATTCGAAATAAATGTATCTATCTGTCAATGGGTCTCCCATTTCGTCAAGTGTACTCACCGCAAATGGCGTCCAGCGTGCAGAGGTGAATGGCCTCGCCCAGGTTGATCTTCTCCTGGCCACTGCTCGTCTTCAGCCGGAGCTGCTCGACGAGACGCAGTGATTGCCTGTCGAAGATCTCCACGTAGGGCTCCAGGATGCGGAAATGGAAGGCCGGGGTGATGATCTTGCGGCGGCGATGCCACTTGCGTCCATTGCTGATCAACAGGCCCTCGTTTAGCCAGCCTGCCAGAAAGGAGTACTCATGCGACTTGGTCAGCAGATGGGTGCTACTCAAAACGCGTTCCACGTCGCGCGGATCGAAGAGCATCACGCTGTAGGAGGGTCCCAGGAAGAGGCCAAAGGTGTCGCCGTGCTGCTGCGCCAGTTCCCGAATCTTCAGAAACGCCCCTGCGGGATCGAGGCCCCAGAAAAGATGGGCATTGCCCAGCAGGGGCAGGGGCAGCGGAGCCGGAACGGTCCTCATGTTCCTCACGAATCGCCGCATCTCCAGGGCGAGGACCACCAGGAGCACGACGAGTGCGAGCAGGAGCCACATTTTCGTCGGGTCTGACCAATTCACTGGAGGCGATGCTACCGTCTGTTCCCGATCTCCAATTCGTGACTAACTTAGCAATTTATGGCTGATAACCCAAGAGGCTGGCTTCCTATCAGCAGCTCAGAGTAGCGATGGCATTTCGGATTTATCAACAGCGCAGATCACAAATCATTGGTGATTTCAAATTACTTTTAAAGTGACTTTAGTATTTATATTAGAATATAAAAGAAATATTTATGTATTTATTCTCTGTAGCTATATAGGATATTTACTTTTTTACATTTATATCTATGTATAGATTAGAGTATATAGTTTCATTAACTTTAGGATTTGTGAGAAAATATAGGTAGGCCTTAAGGGCCTGTACCAGAAAATTCTAGGGTTTTAAAACCACCTATAAAGGTATTTAAAAGTATGCAATAATATACTAAAAAATATTTAATTTGTATGTTTTATAAAGGTTTTTTTTGCACCATGCACCCAACTTGCACTGCGCATTTTTTGGGGTTCACAGTCTAAATAAACAAATTCTCCAAGTCATCCTTAGCTGGCATGAAAAACCCGGGAAGGTCATCATACCAAGTTGACAGATTGACAGTTTAGGGAGATAACGAAATCATCTTCCGCTCGGAAGAGAGCAAATTCCGCCGGAGATTAAGATCTCTTGCTGGCGAAATGACGGTGATTGAGTGGATGAAATCGAGTGTAAACAAAGCGTCCCAAGCAGCATTCCATTCCGATCGATTTGATTCCAGCAATAGTTGTTTACATTCTACGGGGGCGAGCACCTGACCGCAACCCATCCAGTTCCATCCCACCACCCACCAAACCCCCAGCCCCACGTCTGACGTCACTAGGGCCACATGGCCGGTCTATTTCAGGCCAGGTGCCTCTATATTTAGGCCATCCCACTCACTTCCCAGCGATGGCAGACAAACAACGATGACGAAGTCGCGAACTTGAAGTCGTCGATAGGATCTCCGCCAATTTCGAAGAGGGATTCGGATTTTGCCAGAGGTCTCTTTGTTATTATTTCATTTGGAAAATATTCATTCATTTATTCATTTTATTACTTAAATACTATTAGTTCTAACTATCAGTTTAAGTCTATACTATAATACGATATGGTATATGATATACCTTTTTAAAATATTGCTCATTACTCCAGACAAAGTTTAGGATCCCCGATAAATAGCGTTCCATATACAAATTCCTTTCAGAATTGAGAAATCCATTAAACTCACTTTATCACTAGGGTAAGTCCTCGCATATCTGCTTAGCACTTCTGACCTTTATGGCCTTTAAAATGCAGATGTTTATGCAGCTGCGAATATGAATTCGCATATATGCATATACAAATTTGCGCTGTACAAGAGAGCACAAATTAGAAATTCCCATTTGGCAGCCCCCAGTTGACTCATTCCGCAGCCACATCCGAATATATGTACATATATGAAATCCGCATCACAATCCGAATCCGAATCCGAATAAGAATCCCGATCTAAAAACACATGCACATTCGCCCACTGCGTACTAGATAAAAACTCTATATAGGCATATACATACATGTTTTTATAGACGGGGGCTACAGCAATACAGCAATCCAACAATGGCAACAACAGGCGTCCTTCGACCATGCCAAATTCCAAAATTCTTGCGTCGCCGCTCGTCGGTCGTCGACATCGACGTCACTTTATCTCGGAGATCCTCCTGCCCTCCACCCCCCCAAAAAACAAAAAAAAAAGTAGAGAAAAAAAATTTAAGAAGGCGGAACGTAAATATTTACACATGTCTTACAAGTGCTGGCGATTTTTCGATGTCGGATATAGAGCCATATAGCTCGTGGGGTGGGTATGGGAATGGGAATGGGGATTGGAATTTTTCATTGGCATTTCCATTTTTCGTTTTGTTTCCAATTTTGTTCATCTTAACATTGCGCATCGCATCGTTCTCCCGGTCGACAGTTCAATGAGGTTTCCAACGGGTCGTAGTCAGGATTCCTTATCAAGGGGGTTCGATTTTGGGAGCGCCTCTGCCAGTACTGCTTCGAACTTATAGCCTGACTTATTTGATGTGAATTTGGAAATGGAAGTTCTGTAATAATCCTTATTAACGTACAATTTATATATATAGATTAAAATGAGGGTACCATCATATTTTGATAGTTTAACTTACATGATTCTTATTGATTTTGGGGAGTAAACCTATTAAAAATGTAAATAAAATTAATTAAAAATATATAATGCCTATTCTGACCCCCCTGTACAAAATCCAGTCTACACACCTGCCAGGATCCCCGATCTTAAAAGTGAAGTGCAGCGAATAGATGGACACAAAGCGACCTCAACTCTGGAGAGCACTACATCATAACAATAAAAATAATAGCAATTTGGCAGAGGCGCGCAATTTGCGTCAACGACACTTGCCTACTTGGCATCTAGTACGCCCATAGAATGTGTCCATATACCATATATCCATGCCGCGCAGATGTATAAAACAAAAATTTTAAGACCCCGAAATTGATAGCACTTTTTTGAAAATTTGAAAGACAAATCTATTTAACTTCCTTTTTTATCGTTGTAAAAACAATCATTCTTTTAATATTTCAGAATTTAGAATAAAATTTGAATGAAATTGAACGACTTTATCATATAGCTGCCATAGGAACGATCGGATAATTACTGTCAAAATAATACATAGAAATTGAAATGGAACATTATCTTAACATTTTGGTAATTCGTTTTTAGTATTCTAAAAATCGTTAAGCTCTGTACGTAAATATTTAAAATATTTTTCTATTAAGCTGCTATTGTAGTGACCTGTGCTGTTAATGGGTGGGCCCAGTGCCTGTTTATATATAGATCTAAGGATGAGCCATCGTATCGCTCGTCTTCTGCGCCACAATGCATGCCCGTACTAATAATACAGCATAATAACAATAATAAAGCATATGATTAAGCGGACGCAGCGTATGCGCAATTTTCCGTTGCCCCGCATTACGTATACGCCACCGATCCGAAATAAAATTTGGCGCAAAACAGCGGCAATCGCTGGCCAAATAAGGCAATATCCGTTATTCGGCGCGATTACTTAACGCGGCCAATAATTAAATATTAGCAAATCTGTTTCCTCTCGTCGAAAGTGACATCGCCCGGCGAAATTCAAAATTTGGGATGATGAATCATCTCAAATCCCCAAAAATAGTTGCTCATTTTGACGTTTCCACTTGCCTATTTTCACAAATAAATACACCTAATTGTTTGAATGGTACACAATATATCGCTTTGCTGACAAATTGACAGCGGACGGAATTGCAAATACAAAGGCTGGTTTAAAAAAGATATAGTACTATATGGTTTATGCTACAGAACAAATCAAGTATCATAGATACATTTCCATTTATTCGATAATATTTCAATCGATGAATTTGTTTTGCCGAAATGTTTATGAGCCCACAAAATGCGACGCATTTGCCAAAAGGAAAATATAATGGTAATGGAAAAAATGATTATAGGCCAAGTGCTCTGCATTCCGCATTATGTTCTTGAGACTTGGAATCCATTCGAGGCCAATCGAATCGACTCTTCGTTACTGAGGGACACCTATGTATGTGCATTTGCAGTGCTGACAGCATTCTGGCAGATCTATCAAATAATTTATGCTAACCATTTGGCGATCATTTAGTCGGCGGTCTTCTGGTTTCCTTTCCTCGGATGCAACAGGAAATTGCTCAGGCGAACGCATTTTCATTCATGAGTTGATTTTATTTATGCGCCGACCGCTGCCAAACCAGGCAAACCGATGTTTGTGGCGGTCTATATGGTATATGTGGTATATATCGTATATAGTGTGGCTAGTATGGCTAGTATGGCCAAAAGAAAGGACCACCCCCCTGCACCCACACACGTGCTTTATAGTGGGTAGTATATAAATAATTGCCATCGAAATCGCATCGCCATGCACTTGTGGCTGTCAGCCAAACATGCAACAATAACAAGCGAGTGCTGCGGTGGCACGGTTCCCGGGGAAGTGATGGACCGCGGGAATACCCATCGAACCACTTGTGGCTGAGGGGATCCACCCAGCAGCTGGGCAGGCCAGGAATACGTTTGTAATCCAACACAGAGAAAATTCTGACATTCTCATCTGAGTTGAAAATGTTCTTAAAAATAGAAAGACATTTTTGAAGTTGAAAATTGTTCTCAAATCAAGTTGAATTTGCGGTATTTACATTGAAAATCTCAACAAATAAACTATTAGTCCAGTCAGTAGTGTGTACTTATCAAAAAGTTGTTAAATAAACTCAGTTTAACTTTTCTCTTCTCACCATTACGTTCTAATATTGAGAACATTGACATTTTAAGAACGAATGTTCTTAATTCAAGAACAGTGTACTTGAATATATCTCTCTGTTACGCAAGTCCAGCTTATATCAAGTAAATCACCATTCATTCATTTTAAAACCCTATTAAATAATAAAAAATCAAAATATTCCTAAATACTTAGCTGATTGCCTGTAATGTAAAAACCAACTTAAGAAAGTATTGAGTTTTTTCATCCCGATCCAGTTGCCCAAAACACCCCATACTGAGTATCGAAATACCCAGCATTGTATGCGAACAATGCAGTCGAATTTGTTTAATTAGCGGAATAAACTCGTATATTAAAGATTGGCGGGCCGGGTGGACCAAGTCCAAATCCGAACCCGAATCCGAATCTCAACTGACAAGCCAAGGCAGCTGGGCACGCGCATTTCGATGGGTACTCTCGCATACTTTCTGGTTCTGGTCGGAGATTCTCTGATTTCGACATTTGGGGGTTTCTAGAATTCTAGGACTTGAGCTGGTGATACGAAAGCTGCGTTTCCTGCTCTTCTCGGGGGTTGGTGATTTTCGAATGGCATCCCAAATTCCGTACGACGATCAGCGTGTTACATGAACCCCCGATCGAAATGAGACCCAACCATCAGCATACCGTTAGATGTTCGTTCTATTTCGGGGGTCTATATAATGGTATAATGGTTCTGCCAAGGGGTGGGGCAGAGGGGGCGTGGCAGGGGCAGGGGCCGAGGCAGGGCGACCGCTTCCGGTTTTTCCCAAGAGCATTACGAACGGCACGAGCGTTGCATTGCTGATTCGATTTTCACTTCTCTCCGATACCCACTTGCCCGTACACTGAGAGAAAAACTGCACAGCACTAAAGCTGGGATTTTACGACATTTGCTGTTCGTATTTATGATTTTAAAATTATGAAAACTTTGAGAACATTACTTAAATTTAAAGAAAAGCCAAGCTAATTATTAATTAATATATAAGTAACAACACAAAAGTATAAGTCGTCTTCCTAAACTAATTTAACGTAAAAAAAATTTATTGGCGTTGCTTTCTTTTTCTCCTTCTTAGTTCTTATGTGTAATGGAAAGTATTAGATAAATATTAAATAGATTAGCTTCATAAATATAAAAATCAATATTTTTTTATAAAAACAGCATGAATAAAATCAATTTTATTTCTGTTACAAGGTTTTTTAATATGACAGATCATTGGTGTTAGCTCACTCACTATTTTTAGCAGTGTACCTCTTTAAGTGCTCTTTTCTCTGCGGCTTCTTGGAGGCCAACGGATTCGGAATCTTCTCTGCGGTCGGACTCGAACTCGGTACTCGGTACTCGGACCCTCTGATCAGCGGAGCGCGTAAGCTGGTGTTGATTGAAGAGTGACCCCCGACTATATACTATTATACACTCTGTATGTGTGGTAAGTAAAGCAGGTGCTCCCTTGAACTTGGCACGAATATCCCTCGATGGAAATTCCAACTTCTCTGGGAGTTTTTCTTGGTTGGCTGGGAACAAAAAAGCGGTTAAGAATGGCAAAGACGGTCTAAAATTAAAAGAAAATGCAGAGAGCATTTTCACACCGAGAGCGGGGAAAACAAGGCAGAAAGGCTGAAAATCAGAAAAACTGAAAATCCGAACAGCAGCTGCCCTGTAGGTGTGAGTGCGAAAGTGTGCGTGCCATCGCGGCTATAAAAAGAAAGCGCGATCGCTTTCGGCGCTCACTTTTGGTCCCAGCAACCAAACGGCGTGTACCCATAAGACATAAGAGAAAAGAAAAATAAATATAAAAGATATATACCAGCATCGATCAGATCCGAATCAAGTCAAATACAAAATATATAATAATAGCCGGAACGGAAACCAGTTGAAAGACATTTTTCTTGTTTTTTTTTTCCGTTGTTAAATCAAAAGAAGAAACGTTTTCTAAAACGTCTGCATTTTGCATTGTGAGTGGATCGAATCGAAACGGAAACTTGGAAGCCCGACACATCGAGGAATTCCAGATAGCCAAAAGCCAGGAGTAAGAGGAGCTACATTCATCCCGAAAACCGTAGAAAAGTGAGTGAGAAATAAGACGAGGCAGCAATCCTATGGAACAAACAAAGTTAAAACACCGGTCTAACTAAGAACTAGTCAAACTCACTTTTAAGTTCCCGAAACCTCTGGATACTATAAGCCCAAACATAGTTCCTGACTAGAAAGCAACTATTTGTAACTTAAAATCAGTATTAAGTTAACTAAAACTTATATAAATGTGTGATTGCGTTTTAAGAATATACCAAGTTGCTAATAGATACTTACAGGGTATGAGTAAATAAGAATATTGATCCATTGATTTTCAATTTAGAACTTAGAATGTCGTTTTCTTAAAGTTGCTTTCTAGGTAGTTGAATAATTTTCCTTTTTTTCTTCTTAATTTTTCAAATCTGTCTATTATCTTATGTGTTATCTTCTGGTTAAACCTCTTGGAATACTTCTGTTGCCTTGGTTTTTATCAATGTATAATATTAAGTTTTTGCCATCATTACAATAATCTGATTATCTCTGAAAGCCCAACTAATTGAAGACTTCTTAAGAAGTCAGCTATCTGTTTGTGATCTCATTAAGAGATTAACCTGATGGTTTTGATATTCAAGATTGATTTTAGATCCGAGCTATATATACACATACATATATGATATGCGTAGCAGGTTGTTGGTAACTTAAAGCTTGCTGGAAAGCGCGGAGGTTAATGCACAGCAATTTCCAGTTAATTCGAAGTGGAAAAAACGGCAAATGGGCACGAAACCGAATTCCGGTTCATCTTTCGGGGTCGTACGACGACTGCTATACAGTACCATACTATACCATGATACCGTGATACGAGGGGCGCTCAAAAGTTCAGGCCTAGCGGTCTTTTTTCGCTTTGTTGTCGTTGTGTTTTGCCTCTGTTTTTGTTTTCCTCTCTGTCTATCTTTCTATCTGTTGTCTATCTCCCTGCTTTCTGTTTTCATTTTCCCCTGCTCATCATCTTCAGTAATTTTATTTTGGGTTGCG